CACTCAGCCTGTCAAAAAAAAAAAAAAAAGATTATTTGTCTTGTTGGAGTATTTTATAATAGCTGTTTTAAAGTCTTTTTCAGACAATTCAAACAGCTGTGTCATCTCAGCTTTTTCCCACTCGAGTTAAGATTTTCATGGTTATTTAAGTGCTGAATAACTTTGGGTTGTAACTTGAACATTTTGAATATTATGTTACGGGACTTTGTTTCAATCCTTTAGGGAGAATATTTACAATTTTGCTTACTTGTAATCGACATGATTAGGTTTAGAGCATGCGTTCTGATCTCCCTTTTGTGGATCATGGCTCTAAAGCCCAGATAGTTTTCATAACTTTTGCAGTGCCATTCTGATCTGTCTCATATGTGTTTTATCCAGGGACTAGTCTACAACCTGAATGGTGATTTGTTTCTTAGTTTAATTTTCACAATCTGTGATGTACTGTTTAGGATCAGATCTATGTGTGGGTGAGGGTGAGCCTAGGATTTAATTCTTTGTACCTGGTTTTGACCTTGGCTGTTGCAGGCATTTGGGGGAGTGAACCAGCACACAGGAGTTCCTCCCTCATACCCTTTCAAATTCCATCTCTCTCTCTCTCAGCTGCCACCGTGGGACTGCTTACTGGCTAAAGTGTGTGAGAATGGAGAAAAGAAAAAGAAAAATAGTGTATTTTTCATACCTTCTCAGAGTATTCAGAGACCTAATTCCTGTTCTTCCTGGAACTTTCTCTGTCCATGTCTATGCCCCCTTCTGGGTTTTGGGCTCTGCCTTGAGTTCAGTTCACTGGAGACTGGAGGGCAAAAAATGGTAAACTTACTGCAGTTCAGTTTTACTTCCAATTCTGGTGCTCTTACTCAATATAACCAGTACAATTTACTTTTTAGAGCCATTAAATAGCTGTCCCATGCCTTCTGTTCAGGTTTAACAGCTACATTCAGCCAGAGAGAATGGGTTGAGTGTGATTATTCTCTGTTAACTGAAATCAGAAGCTCTGCATTGCATAGGTTAGTGTTCATATATAAACATGTATACACAATGGAAGCTTTCTTTGGTGTGTATTTGTGCATAGTTGGGGACTAGTCTTTTCATACTCTACCTGAGACAACTGCTTGATACAATAAAGACTATTGTGGTTATTTTTGTGGAACAGATTACTTTCCAACTTAGGAGCATCAGATAACTTTAATCACCTTGTTTTCGCATAGTGTCAGCTGTTACTTCGACTCAGCTAGGTGGTTTTTGTTTGGGGTTTCTCACATGTTTATTTACAGTTGGATGGAGATTGGAAGGGGAACAATTCGAAGGCTCACTCATTCGCGTGGGTGTCTTTTGAGCTGCAGAGACTGAAAAAGTTAGGTGTCTTGTGGCGTCTCCCTTTACTGCTCTGTGGGTCCTCTCCATGGTTTCTCCAGTATGGCAGCTTCAAGGCAGCTAGCTTTCTTACATGGAAGCCCGGGACTCCAAAGTGAGTGGAGCGCGAGACAGTGAGAGGAATCCAGGCAGAAGCTAGACTGCTTTTGATGACCTAGCCTCACAAGTCACACAGTCTCCATTGCCACATTCTGTTCTTTGAGGCCATTGAAAAGTCCACAGAGGCTCAAAGGGACAGAACACAGATGCCACCTCTTGATGGAGATTCTGAGATGGGAAATATGGTGTGATCACTTTTTTGGGAAATACAATCTGACACAAGTACTAAAAAAGTACACAAATACTTTTTAAAAAACAAAGTCATTTATTTATTTGACTGGCAGAGAGAGAGGGGGGGGAGAGAGAGAGAGAGAGAGAGAGAGAGAGAGAGAGAGAGATTGATTTTCCATCAGTTGCTTCACTCCCCAAATGGCTGCAAAAGCTGGGTCTGGTCTGGGGATAGACCTAGCCCAGACCAAAGCCAGAAGCCTGGATCTCCATCCTGATCTCCTACATGGGCGACAGGGGTCCAAATGCTTGAGTCATCTTCCACTGCTTTCCCAGGCACATCAGCAGGGAGATGGATTAGAAGTGGAGCAGCCAGGACTGGAATCCAGCACTCTGATATGAGATGCTGCATCACAAGCAGTGGCTTAACCAGCTGAACCACAATGCCCACCCCCAAAATCTGTACTTGTAATGTAGCTGCTGCTGTAGTGTGAGCTATACAGAGAAGTTATGCCCAAGACTTCTTGGAACCCAAGAAGGTGTGATATTATAATCAATACAGCCAGTTTAGACTAAACATGTATTTTTGTGAGTCTCCAGGAATTAGATAAAATTTTCTCATTGTTTTAGATCCTTCTCTGTAACTCTCAAGGTTTTCCTTAAATATTTATTTGTTTGAAAGGCAGAGTTACAGAGAGGGAAAAGCAGAGAGAGAGGGAGAGAGAGAGAGAGAGAGAGAGAGAGAGAGAGAGAGAGACAAGAGAGAGAGAGAGAGGTCTTTCATCCACTGGTTCACTCCCCAGATGGCCACAACAGCCAGAGCTGCACCAATCCAAAGCCAGGAGTTTCTTCCAGGTCTCCCACATGGGTGCAGGGGCCCAAGGACTTGGGCCATCTTCCACTGCTTTCCCAGGCCATAACAGAGAGCTGGACTGGAAGTGGAGCAGCCAGGGCTTGAACCGGTGTGTATATGGGATGCCGGCAATGCAGGCGGTGGTTTTACCCACTATGCCACAGCACTAGTCACCAGGTTTATTTATTTATTTATTTATTTATTGACAGACAGAGTGGACAGTGAGAGAGAGAGACAGAGAAAGGTCTTCCTTTTGCCGTTGGTTCACCCTCCAATGGCCGCTGTGGCCGGCGCGCTGCGGCCGGCGCACCGCGCTGATCCGATGGCAGGAGCCAGGTACTTCTCCTGGTCTCCCATGGGGTGCAGGGCCCAAGCACCTGGGCCATCCTCCACTGCACTCCCTGGCCACAGAAGAGAACTGGCCTGGAAGAGGGGCAACCGGGACAGAATCCGGCGCCCCGACCGGGACTAGAACCCGGTGTGCCGGCGCCGCAAGGTGGAGGATTAGCCCAGTGAGCCGCGGCGCTGGCCGTCACCAGGTTTTTAATATTTACAAGTTCACTGTTATCTTCACAGAACTTCAAGGTATATGTGTGTGTATATATATATACATATATATGTATATACATTTTCTTTTTTTTTGCAGGAGCTGAGTGATAGCCTAGAAGCATTGGGAAAGATGCTAACTGAAAATTAGATGAAACACCCTCCATGCTAAGCAGGTTTGGTGGGGAATTCACCTGGAAGGGAACCATGAAGGCTGCGGTGCTCAGCCTGGTTTTCCTACTTGATGCCATCTCTCGCCTCTTATTCATTTTGGTTATCTTATTACTTTCTTCATCAAAAAATCCTTTCACAAATGCAAACCCCTCTAGGATAGAATATAGGAACGGTTGGTGGAGAGTTGAGAGTGATTCAATAAACACAAGCAGAGGGGAGTGGAGTTGTGGCATAGCAGGTAAAGCCGCTGCCTGTGATGCTGGCATCCCATAAGGGCACTGGTTTGAGTCCCGGCTGTTCCGCTTGAGATCCAGCTTTCTGGGAAAAGCAGTGGAAGATGCCCCAAGTGCTTGGGCCCCTTCACCCACATGGGAGACCCGAATGAAGCTCTGACTCCTGGCTTCGGCCAGGCACAGCCCTGGCAGTTGAAGCCATTTGGGGAGTGAATCAGATAGAAGACCTCTCTTTCCCCCCCTCTCTCCTCCTCTCTTTGTAACTCTGCCAGTTAATTAAATAATCTTAAAATACACACACACACACACACACACACATACACACACAAGCCGAGTGTGAAGTACTGGGAACTCAGTGATTAAGTCGACTTCCTTGACTAGAGGAACAAGGTAGATTGAAAATTCAGGTTCTTGAGGATTTGTTCCAAGAGGCTTCATCCTCTCGAATCTGCTGTTCTGAGCTGGCCTTGATCATAACAATCACCCAAAGGTGCCCTGCTGAGCTACCAGGAGGTCCACTTAAAAGGTTTTCAGGGTAGAACTGCAATAAGTGAGGCTGGCTTATGCCCTGGACTGGATTTGCCTATGTCAGAGCGACCTAGGAGCCTTCAATCCAAGCAGAAGCAAAAGGCCCGCTCGTTTGCACAGTCCAGGTCCCACTCCAGCTGTTACCCCTCTGATAGGACAGAGGCTATAGTAGTTTAGGGGAAAAGCCAGTAAGAGATGTTCAGGATGGCTTGCAGTAGCCCTTCGCAGGAGGGAGGGCTTGCTTAACGGCACCCTCAGCTTTAGACTCCACTCTTCTCACTGGGTCTATGGAGCTCTCATCGCTCCCTGCTCTGACTAAGGTAGGTGTGACGGGAATATCACAAGCCTGCCTCAGAACCACCTGCTGCTTTTCTACCTGCTGCCTGTCCATAGCAAGTGGTCAGCTCCTTCCATTTCAACCCTCTTCCCCAAGGGGGTTAGCTGCACAGGCCAGAATAACAAGTTAAGTCTAGTCCTCAAGTGATGGAGGAGGTATTTCAACCCCCTCCTCCGATTCCAACCCCGCATCCATCTTTCATTGAGTTAGGTCAGAGCAGAGGTTTGAATGAAGCCCAGCAGATTCTGGGGAGTCTCGAGGGTTGGACTCCACATGAGGAAACAAGTGAAGAGCATAACGCGGCTTCGTGACTCCCACTTCACCGGGAGGCTACACCGGGCAGGGATCAAATAGTTCGCCGCGGCGCCCAAGATAAAACTCCAGCCCGCCCGAAGAGCGAATCCAAGCTGATGCTCCTGCCAGGAGTGGGCGACCTCTGGCGTCCCGTTTGGGAAGCAGGGCGGCGATTGTCCAGAAACTGGCTCCGCGACCCCAGACTGGCCAGGTACGCAAGGGTTGGGTGAGGAGCGCTGAGAAGCAAAGGGCCGGCTGCAGGCCCCCCCGGATCCGAGGGTGACAGCTGGCTGGGCCCTGGTGGCCCAGTCGTCGCGAGGCGCAGCGCGGCGGGGGGACGAACAGGTGCGCGGGCGGGGGGCGGTGCTTGGGGATCCTGCGCACTGCGCGCGCCCCTCCCCCGCGCGCGGCTCACAGCGCAGCCCTGGCCCGGCGCTGGCAGGAGGAGGAGCTGCGGCGGCGGTGGCCACTCGGGCAGGTCGGCGGCGCTGCCGGAACCCGCCGACGGCGCGGGCTGCTGGTCCCTGCGCGGAGGAGGCGCGGGCGGCCCTGGGGCCATGGAGCCTGGTGACGCGGCGCGCCCTGGCCCGGGGCGGGTAGTTCGGGCGCTGCGGCCGCGGCTGCTCTTGCTGCCGCTACTGCCACTGCTGCTGGGTCGGGGGCTGCGTGCTGGGGCCGCGGCCTCCTCCTCTGGGGCGGCGGCCGAGGACAGCAGCGCCATGGAGGAGCTCGCCACGGAGAAGGAGGCGGAGGAGAGCCACCGGCAAGACAGCGTGAGCCTGCTCACCTTCATCCTGCTGCTCACGCTCACCATCCTCACCATCTGGCTCTTTAAGCACCGCCGGGTGCGCTTCCTGCACGAGACCGGGCTGGCCATGATCTACGGTGAGCACCCCTGCCGCACCCGCCTCCCGGTACACCCCTCCGGCGGCCCGGCCGCCGCGCTCCGCCTTCACTTACCAGTGTGTTTCGTTTCTTTTCCGTTTCCCGCTGCAATGATGTTGGCTCCCAAGGTCAACGGTCTGCATTTTCTGGCTTTCTATTACCGTTACAAAGAATTCTACCCCATTTCCACGTTTCTTCCCCCCGGAAACCCAGGAAAATAAAAGGCACAGAGGGGGGCCGGTTCCATCTGCTCTGCTCTGCTCTGTTCTATCTCTGTTGCTCCCCCTCGCTTCCTCTTTATTACCCCCCCTCCCGCACTCCGTCCCAGTTCAGCTCCACAGGGTGTATGTGCGGGAGCTGGAGGTGGGTTACTCCCCAGGGGACAGGCCACGGTAAGGACGAGGGTTGAAAGTGTCTCTTGGCGTGGGTATGGGCTGGTGGGGCCTTTTGGACGCCACCTGCATGGCTGGGTTGGCGAGGCCTGTTGGATGCCACAGTCACGGTCAGCGCAAGTGGGCTCCCGCGTCTGAGGTCTGTGTCCCCAGGTCTCTTGTTAATAAAGTCCGAACATAAAGTGCAGAGATAGGTGAGGACCCAAAGTGGTGGCCCCACCGTGTGTGGGGCCTAGACAAGTCCACCACCTCGTGTTCGGATGTTCTGGTGGGAAGTTGTACCAGGTCACTTGCTTTCTCGGAGGAAGAGGAGCGTTTGTATCCTTAACATGGTAACATGGAGTGAGTTTGAAGACGCAGTTCTGAGTGTCTGAAGAGGAAAAGTACTGGAGTGAGCCTTCTTCTGTTAAGGGTGGAAATGATGCTGCCGTCCTTTTTGGGATTTAATGGTCCATGATATGTTACAAGCACAGTGCGCAGCCCAAATCTCCTGTTATTATGCGGATGTCCCTAAGCTATGATCTGAGTCATCCCTCTTCTCCTGTAACCCCTCCTCACCCCCATGGCTCCAGACGGAAGCCAAGTATTCTCTATTAGTTGAATTTAATTCCTGGCATCTACATGTGCAATAGATGAGCCCACTTCGTGACTGTTCCCAGTCAGGACCATTTTACTCCGTCACTCACACCGGAGGGCTCTCTCCACTTACTCTCTACCCAGAGGTCCCTGTGGAGCATGGAAAGCAGACACCTTAATCTTTAATGTGAAAATTACTCTGGGTCCTGGGCCTTGATTCTCAAGCTTCGTGTTTCGGTGTTCGCAGCCGGGGCTCACGGCCGGCCCCAGGGCCATTTCAGACAAACTGTGTAACTGGCAACTGCTGTCAGGAGCCTTCTAGTTTGGCCTGAACAGATCTTGAATTGAGACAGAACCAGGTCTAAAACTGACTTTGGTTATTGCAAATTAGAGGGTTCAAGTCAGACTTGGGCCTCTACCCCTGGCTGCTCTGGAGCCCTGTGGTTTGTGTCAGTTGGTGACCAATGAGTGATGCCAGGGCCACAGGTAAGCAGGGAGGTATCATGAATGGATGGCAAGGGGAGAATTGAAGCACGTTGTCACTTCATGCCATTGGTGCTGAGCTATGCATATGGATAGATAGCTGCAAAAAGATTTTTTTTTAAATTTATAGTTCCTAGACCTTAAAGGACAATGTGGAATAGGAGATAGGTTTGCCAAGCTCATAAATACAGGCCCAAAGGTGTGGAAAAGAAATGGGGATTTAAAAATGTTTACTGAAGGGTACTCCATGTTGTTAGGAGTTCAGTCACCTTTATCTGAGGCTCAGAAACAATAGTGGAAGTTGCCACCCCCTTCCAGTCATTGGGGGCTGCGCCATAGAGTATGGTTCTGTTTTATAAACAGCCGTGTTACAAACCTGGTTTAATGGATGATTGTTCTGAAAAGGCAATAGCCCCTCACAGCATTTCTGTTGAATTTTGTTCTCTCTGCATTTTAGTGTGACTTTGAAATGTATAAAGGAATTAGTTTTTTCAATACGTGACACCCTAGGTTATGCCGAATGTTAATATGTTCATGTGGGTGGAATGTAATCATGAGGAGACATTGCTCTCTTTTACTCGGGGATATGTGATCTGTTTCAAACCCCCTACCCCATCTGAATTCTAATATGATTTGGTTAACCAATTATTATACACTGAAAATGATTCGGATGGGGATTCTAATTTTTAAAACTTAGCCTGGTAATCTCTTTAGAAATTGGCTGTTTTTGAGGTGTACTTGTACATTGCGAAATGATGGCCATAGTCAAACAAATCTTTGAATACTTAAGTGAATGCAATACAGATTTTTCAGGACTTCTCTTTTTTATAGTAAAAAAATTAGAGTTTCTTGATATTGATAGAGGAAGTGAGTAATTGTCTTCTTGAGTGTGAGTAATAAAGGACAAAAAGACTTGAGGACACATTATGTTTCTGCTGTGTTCTGGGTACCCGACTTGATTTCTGGAGGCAAACAATTTCAGTCTTAAAGGTGGGTACATTTTTCTGCATGAAAGAGGTCAAGTGTGAAGTTCAAAACTCGTCGTGTTGAAGAAGTGTTTCATAAATCTCATTTCTGCTACCTTTTGCTGTTGAAGTGGCACTAACCTGAGAAAAAGGTCTGTAACCTTTCAAATTATATATACGAATAGATGCTGGTGTAAGTCATAAACCACCTCTGGCAGACACACGACAGCCTGGTACGATTGGTAACCTTGGAGAAGAACTGGGTGGCTGCGAGATAGGACTGAGAGGGAGATGTTACTGTATACCCTTCTGTGCTTCTTGATTTTTGAAGTGTGGAAGTAAAATTAACTACTAGTGTGTCCGTAGGCGTTCCTTAAACCACTCAATTTGACGCCCATGTCTCCCCATTGAAATCACAGTCTGCTGACAGTTTTCTGTGACCTTTTCATTGTTGACTGTACCCATGGAACTTCTGGAGCCCTGTGCCAGAAGAGAGAAAATGAGGCAAGAGAGAGGTTTTCCTTCCACTCCTTTCTCCCTTCTTCCTTTTATCCCGTTATCCCCGGAGAAGAGTCGGCGTGACATTAGCAGTGGCGTACCCAAATAGATCCCATAATAAATGCTTGCTTGAGTGCAGAGGACCTAAGGACAATAAGAGACACACTGCGCATTCTTAATGTTTGCATGGAAAGGAGCCCCACCCACCCACCAAGGGCCAGTCACAGCAACTCCTCCCCAACAGCAGGCTGGGCCAGCTACACAGCAAGGTGGCTGCGGACCCGATTTTCCTGTGACAGTGAAAGCAGCCCCCAGCCCCTGTCATGCAAGCGGCAATGGGCTTGCCTGGTGCTAGTCTAACCTGTTTTGTCAGGCCAGAGAGCTCCCAGCTAGCTCTGTGTGTGTGTGATTAAGTGCCGTCCTAATGTGACAGAGCCCTGTATGTTTGTGCAGCAGAAATAGCAAGTGTTTGAGCAGGGAAAGCTGGCATGAGCAGACGGTGTCAGTTAGTGCGGGGCTCTCTTGGGTGTACCGTCGATCTGCTTCCCCCATAATGTTTTTGTTGCACCGTGCAACGGTCCAAAATGCCTAGATGCTGCTGTGCTAGTCCTCCATCACCTGCATCTCACTTCCTTCTGCTCCGCGCCTGTCAGCTGGGCGAAGGTGTGTTGATCCGCCCCGTTAGTGCTGTGGACCGTGGGCTCTTGGTGACCTGGTTGCTGTGTCAGCTGGTTTATCAGCACAGCCTGAGAGTGGGCTCTTAGGCAAAGTCCGAAAGGAGAAGATAGGATTCCCAGTTGAGCCTATGAGCAAATATTTTGGGACAGCCTTCTTCCTGGTTAATTAAGGGTCGCCTTTTAAAACAGCTCCTCAGTTTGTCCTCGCTTCGGAGTGGCCCTGTGTTGTCTCACTTTGGTTTACTAGTATGGTACCCTGGGTCCGAATGTTGGTGTTTACTCTCTAGGCCTCAGTTTCCTCTTTTGGAGAATGGAGAGTGTTAGCTCATAGGATTGTTGTATTACTGAGATATTCAAGGGTCAAGTGCCATGGCTGACATTTAAGCGCTTGGTTAATTAGTTCCCATTCTCACTTTACACATTGTGATTCTTTGCTGAGCTTTGCCACTTTTAGTTTTGTTCAATACAAGACCTATGTAGTTTTTTTAGATAACTAGTTCTACAGCAATTTATTATATTTTTTTTAAGATTTATTTATTTGAAAGTCAGAGAGAGGAGAGGCAGAGAGAAAGAGGTCTTCCATTTGATGGTTCACTCCCCAGACGGCCGCAATGGCCGGAGCTGTGCCCATCTGAAGCCAGGAGCTAGGAGCTTCTTTCCAGTCTCCCATGTGGGTGCAGGGGCCCAAGGGCTTGGGCCATCTTCTACTGCTTTTCCAGGCCATAGCAGAGAGCTGGACAGGAAGTGGAACAGCCTGGTCTCGAACCAGTGCCCATATGGGATGCCGGCGCTTCAGGCCAGGGCGTTAACCCATTACGCCACAGCGCCGGCCCCAAGACCTATGTAATTTTAAAATGCATTAGGACACAGTTAGGGGGAGTGAGAATTGTCTGTTTTTTGGTTGACTATTTGTTAATAACTGGAAAAAAACTTACAATGCACCTACCTATCTTTTAATCCAGCAGTTTGAATTATTGGATTATCCTTCCGAAGTACTTGCATTTGTATGTTACTGTATATAATGCAAGTATTTATATATTTGCAGCTGATAAAAGTTGCAATACTCATCAGGAAAGGACTAGTTAAATTACAGCACATTCCCTTTAAGGAATAGTATGTAGCTGATCAAAGGATGTTTTCAGATGTGCTTTTAAGGCAGCTGTTGGGGGAAACCAAGTGCAGAACATAATGTGTGGTATTTTCCTATTATTTGAATATCATATAAGCACAGAGATATGGACATATGCATTTATACATGACTGATGTGCTTTTCTAGAAGGATACACAAACTTAATGGTTATCCTTTGCGAGTGGAACCAGCTGTTGGGAGAGAGGAAAGATGGTACTTTTCCCTTTATAGTCTTCTGAATGTCCTGAACTTTCTTCACTAAACATATTTTTGCAATTGA